TGTGTGTGTGTGTGGGGGGGGGGTACATTAAGTAGAAATGTGAAATTGAAAGTTGTGAAATGGTGATTAGATAATATTTAGACCCACTTCCATGTACCTTCATCACACATAATTGTAGCTCACAGTGCAGGTTGTCCATTTCAACTACAGTTGTTTGTACTTTTCACTTGCAAACTGTTTTAAATGAACATTTGAGAAATATTTTGAAGTTTAATACTGAATGTATTGTTATGTTTGAATTATGCATAGTAAACCTTAATCTACAAAATATGCTCAAGTAGGATTAACATTTTTTTTTTGCCCTTAAATTTCACTTAAACTCAAAGATACTGAAAAAATTTTCTTGTTAATTTACTGAGCTGTTAGATGACAATATATAATAGCATAATCATAAACAACATATACACTGTACTGTACATTGTCTGTTTGAAAAGGAATTAGTAAGTTTTAGCATTTTTAAACAGTATATTTTGTGCCTTAGTCCTGGGCCACCACTCCTTGAATGCTGCAAAATGCCCTTAAATATTTTGCAAGTGTCAAAGAATTAAAAAAATTCATTGTAAACGTACTTTTTTCTATAACTTGGAACAAAACAGCTTTTTAGAACTTATCAAATGTGTTTCACATATGAAGATCAAATTATTTAACCCGAAACTTTGAAACTACATTTCTTAGATAATGGAAAGGATGCCCAGCTGGTTTTGCATGATAATTTCTTCACAATACTTAACAAGTTCTCTTATAATTGCTATTTCCAAGGCTAACATTTCATGACATCAAGCTTGTCTGCCAAAGTTTTGATATAATAGATTTACAGTACCAAAAACAATAAATTGTGTAATGCATACTTTCTATGATGCAAATAAGTGTATACTTTAATTTTTATTTGTACTACATGTAGCTTCACTCTAATATTTAGAGCTGTTTTTTAAAACTTTCCAATAGTTGTAAAGTGTGTTAACAATTAAGAATACTTGATGAGCCATATGTGACATTTCAAACATACTATTTTGTTTGTTTTCATATTTTTAAATTTTATAAGCGTAGTTATTTTTTATTTATTATTGTGTACTTCTACCTCAAAAACTGTATAATCTCATTAAATAATGGAAATTTTAAAACATATAGATTATTTTCATAACATGAGCTTCTTTGCCCTCCCCCTCCTTTTATCATAGAATTTGCAACCTTTTAAATATAGGATGTTAACTCTTCATGGTATTTATGAATGAAGTCATTAGTTTTTCTTCTTTTACTCACTGTTAGTGTTCTGTGACTTTTTTTTAATTAACATATTTAATAATTTTTTATTATCATTTTCCATTGTGCTATAACTCGGTACTCTTCTAATGCAGGTGAGTTACGTTAAAAAAAAACTATAGGTCCAGCTGAATTGGGAGCTTCGGGAAATCTGAAGTTCTCTTAGAAGACCTGTGTCATTTGCAGGATCAGTATATAGTTTTGAAAAATTAAAAATAGGTGTACTGATAGCAATAATATTTAGTACTTCTCTGTGGCAAAAGTGAGGAAAAGACAAAATATTTAAGCAATCTCTTCTCATTTTTTTTAACTTCTGTTGTTTTTTTAATAATGAGAGTTAAATATATCAAGTAATTGAGGATAAGTGAATGTTCATTGAAGACCTGAGCATCTGTAATTAGCTATAATTGGCCTAATAGTATGAATAGTATTAGCCTTGTTTTTATTTTAAGATAATGTCGGGGCAGACTATGAAATTATTTTTGGCTCATTTCAGTGTAATTTTTTTTAGTACATCATTTTCCCATTAGCTTATTCATATTCTCGTTATTTTGCAGGCAGAAACACTAAATCCATTCGATACATCTACTGCAGAGGTAAGGGTTTCAACATGTCTTTAGATCTACTGAAAATTTTGAGGTGATCAAACAATAGTTAGTACTGAATATAATTTAACATCATTTGTAATTAAATAGCCTTAAGTCAAGTCTTCTTTTTTTCCTTATTCATGTATTTTTTTAGTAACTGATGCCGTGTGGGAAATAAGTGTATTATGCAACCAATCAGTAACTTGTGCTAATTTATAACAATTTATCAAATACTTGCTGAGTAAAGATAGGGTGATTGGATGTCCCAGTTTTGCTGGAACTGTCCTGGTATTTGGTAGTTTATTCCAGTGTCCTGAGAAAAGTTGGGAATCACAAAATGTCCCAGTTTTATGATAAAGACATCAAACTGTCAGGCATGTCAAAACACAAATGTAATAGGCCTACTTAACTTGCTTGTTGTTGCAACATGTACTTTTCTGCTGCCAAACTCTCTTAAAAGGTCCATCTGTGGTTGGTGAAAAACCCAGATTAGTGCAGTTTTTTTACTTAGTAGTATTGTAGTAGACCTATCGCAGGTAGTGAATTTGTGTCTATCACCAAAAAAAGTAGTTGAAATTATTCTAAAAACAATGCCAATGTTAATATATTTGGAAATAGTGTGGAACAGTTTGATAAATTTAAAGTAAGTTAAATAATAGTTAAATTATTTAACATTTGTAATAACCATTTTGAAATTAGCAGCAAAGGCTGTCCCAGTTTTTCAGTTTGGAAATCTGCTAACCCTAAGTAAAGATATTATTTTACTTTTTTATTATTAGCATACAAGTGTATTTATATGCACACAGGTGTATCATAATGAAAGGTTTATGTGAAAATTTCAGACCCACTTTCAATTTTAATGCATTGATAATTTGTAGTTTTATCTTTGCAAGTGTGTAACATACTGTATGCATCAGTGAACTGTAAATTTTGCCAATTTGGCTAAATTTTCAAACAACTCTTAACTATCATAATAGCTCTCCATGAGTACAAACTTCATCTGAAAAGGTTAAGAAATGATGTACTTTGACAAACTTCTGTCATGTATTTTCAATAATGGTGGATGTTGTAAAAACAGTTTCCTAGAAACAATTGCATACATGTTAAACTTTACTTTTTTGATTTAAAATATAATTTCAATGGGGTTTTTCTATGAAATCTTTGTCAATATACTTTCATCATCCTGTTGTTTACTTGCTTTGATTAATGATTTTATGTACAATTTACCCAGTTTGGTTTGATTTTCTAGATACTTTACAAACAATTAGTAATACTCATAGATTACATTTTGGAATGAAAATCAAATATGGCTAGTTTGTTCTTATTGTTCTTTAAGTACTTTTTATCACATTTTATATAGTGATAACTTAGTTTTGCAGAGATACAGTTATGATAGTATACATAAATTGTTTTTACATACATTGTACTTTAGGTCATAAAGACATTTACGTTATTGTTCCTTTTATATTAGTGTGCAACATTAAGTAGAGGCTTATTTTTTTTCTTTAATCACCAAAAGTGTTATTGTGTTACAGAATGTATTCTATCAAAATCTGGTAAACAGTGACCTCCCATCAGGATACTTGATGGGAAAAGAAAGTATTGATGTAGAATCCCCCAAGTCTCGGTCTGCATTAACATTGGTAAGTACAGTCGTTTTTTTACTGTAAGTTTGTGTTTTCTAGGTGATTTTACATAATATTGAAATAACTTAAATTATTGTAACAAAAAGTATTTGTCTAAATGTTCTTTACAATGTAGGTCATAAATGCTTTTATTAAAATTGATTTGGTTTGGTATAAATAAAAGATACTTAACAAGTGCGTTCTTCAGGTTCTATGTGCTTTTTTCCTTTTTGCTCAAGTGTGGATAATCAATGTATTGTATTAATTCTCCCCATGTGTGAATATATCTGTAAATATTTTGTAATGGATATTTTTCTGTCATCAACAACAACAAAAATAAGATCTGGCATTACTTTAACTAGGAGGTTTAAAATGCACAAGTTTTATTCTCACATTAATTATAACAGGTAAATTTAATTTTAAGCAAATGGGGAAGCAAAAATATTTACGACAAAAACTTGTATAACATAATGGTAAATAAAGTAGTGTTATCAGTGTAACTGTGTGAAGAATATTAAGTGGCTAAAAGGGGTTGGTAAGACATTTTTTGATTTTCATGGTTACTTGAACATAATTATTTTTCTCTAGGAAAATTCTGACCTACGGAGACAGGTGATTCTACTTCAAGAGCAACTTGAAGAAAAGGATTGTGTAATTCGTTTGCTTCAGCAACAAATGGTATATGTTACATTGGTGAATTTTAAAGAAAATTAAAATGAATGTTTCTTTACATTTTAGTCACTGTAAAACATGAAAACTCCCTCAATCCAATAATTAAGAAATGATATTCAAGACAGAATCCAAATTTTTGAATTCAGTTTTATGCCCATTTAGCCATGTCAGATTTATACCAAATTGTAAAAGAAACTAAATTCTATGCATAAAAGTGCTTAGGTAGGGTTTCTTGTTCCACTGTTGTTGTGACACTTAAAAGTTAAAAATACAACTGCATTAATTTTGTACCTAGTTAAATTGTGCTACTTATGTCTAAACAGAGATTTTTGTAATGTAATAATTCTCTCCCTTTCATGTACCTCATTTTATTTTTCCCAGACTGAGTGCACTGCAGCAACGGACAAATCTGAAACTTTTCTTGAAGGTAACAAATGCAATTCAGCAACACAGACAGAGAGAGTAAGTTTTATGTTTTTATATTAAACATTTTTCAGTTTTTTCAAAGTAATTTGACATTAGATAACTTGTTCTGGTGTAGACTTTTTTCTAGCACCTCGTGTATGAGCGAAGGCTGCTGTTTTTTTGTCATGCTTTATTTATGCTTTTATTTATCCTATGATACAATAAACACTGGAATATGTTTATAAAAAAAGATCTGGTGTGTAATAAACAATAGTATAAACTGTAAAATTATCATGGGGATTCATATTGGCCTCATTGTGCAGCTTTTCAAACATCTTTTTTTTAACTACTTGTGTTTGTCAGATCCATGACTGTTTGTTTACAGGGTCCATAATAACATATTATGAGTTATACCAAAAAGTTAAGCAAAAATATCATCATTATTGCAATTAATCCCACTAATTACTGTTGGATTCTCTTAGTCTCATATATTTTATATAAATGAAATGAGTGATTTTTACCTGTTTTTTGTCAGTTCTTTTTGCTGAGTGTTTAAATGGACAAAAAGTAATATTACTTAGTATGATGGTAGAAAAAAAGTATAAAAACAAGTAGGTAATTTGAGAGTTAAAAATATTAATTTTATGATAGAGATAACAGAAGAAAATTCATAGAAAGGAGATTTTATCAGCTACCTTACTGATTCATCAGTTTTTTGTTTTTTTTAGTATTGTTTATAGGCTTCTCAAGCTTTAGAAATAAAAGATGCATAGACTAGAATATTATTCAACTACTTGTATTGAAGCTAATGCTTCACCCTTTTGACCCATATTTACAACATCCCAAGTTCTGGATCATCATCATAAAAAAATTTATAGTAGGAGTGAATAAGGTACATGTTAGAACAAGAAAGAGAAATAACAATATAAATCATTTCCAAATCGAACTCCCAGTTTTCTTATCTTTAATCTTCTGTAAATTTACATCAAAAACTATTCATCACATTATACAATTTAATAAAAGTATAATTAACACTGTACAGTATTTAAAGAAGGAGAATGCATGTAAGCATCAGTGATACTCAAAGAGAAGAAAAAGAATGAAGTTACAATTTGAGAAAAGCAGAATTTCACTTGTAGTAGTCTAAATCTTAAATTTATATTTACTTGTCACAGTAACATGGGGATGATCTCTCTTCACCATAAAATTGTGTGTGTGCTGAACTATCTTTGAAACTGACTTCCATTTGGTCTGAAACATATGTAACAGCAACAATCATACTGTACCAATGTATAAAATGTACTAATATTGGAGTGTTAAGTATTTTAATAAATAAACAGTCTATAGAGTTCTTACACAAATTTCAGTAGTAAACAAATGTGGGCAACTTCTTTGTTTATGATACATATAAATGTAATTTCAGTCACACTAGTGTCAGCGTAGTTAGTAAAGTTTCTGCTGGTACAGAGTATAAGTTACAATTGTTTGTCCAAAACATGTAACTCATTTCAGTGACTAAACTTTACTTTTTCTATTTATTCTTAATTCCAAAACAAACAAAAAAGAATTACATTTACCTTGAAATAAAATGCTAAAAGTTAGTCAGGATTTTATTTTTTTAGAGCAAAATATTTTGCAACCAAACTCCCATGCATCACTTTGATGTTGAAGAAATTACAAATTTTGTTTTCTTATTTTATGCTTTTCAGGTAAAGTCATGGATAAGCAGTCAGAATCCAGAACGATCTTATGATGATTCTTCTGCTACCTTAGTAAGGTAAGGTATCTGTTAAACTGTCAATTTAGTAAATTTTATGGCCAATGTGAGAACGATTTTTGTTACTCCACCCCCTTTTCCAGCCGTACTCTCTAAGGAAAGGAAGAAATATGCTCTTTAAATGTTAACTTCAAAACACATTTAATATTCTGAACTACTGTACTATGTACAGATTATGGAGTGGAGTAAACGTACAGTACAAAATAGGCTGTTCATGTAGGCTATATCAGGAAGATTTTTTCTGGCTTTAGGAGCAGCAAAAATGTTTATTAATTTTAATGTTCTACTTCATTGTAATTTCATTTTCTGTTGATGCCATCGCCAGTCATACCAGTTTTTTCTAAGACATGGTAGAACATTGGCAAGATTTAATTTATTTTAGCTTTGAAAAGCTTCTCTCTCTCTCTCTCCTGCAGCAATAGTAACTAGGTTTATATGCAATATTCCAAGGGCAATGTAGGTATTTGGAAATACCTCTGTAGTGAATATTACCATAATACTCTGAGAGAACTCCTGCATAGCAAATTGAAAAGTTGAGCAAAAACAATCAGTGGCTCAGTGATAAGTCTTCAAGCTTATAATGCTCATTGATATTTTATCATTAAGTAACATCTATGTAGTGTAATTTGCAAAGAAAAATAATAAAAAGTTATAATTTTCATTTCTGCATATCTCCGAGGAGGTTTGTCTGTATACAACACATTCTCTAATGAAGCTCAACTTTTAAGCTAGCTATAGGCAAAAGTTGGTAGAAGAGGTTATAATCTATCTGCATAAAATAGACTAAATAAAGTGGTTTGAAGAGTAATTTCCAATGTGAGAAGGATAAAATCGGGGAATATCAGTGACACTCTTCCAGTCCAGAATTGTGAAGTATAAAAGTATTTTCTTTATAATATGGATATATATATATATTGAATTTTAGGTACTTGTTAATAATCTGTAAATGTGATACATGCATAACCTTTTTAGGAAAGATTTACCATTTTCCAAAAATAAATAGTAGTGAATATATCTCCTATCAGAAACATCATTTTATCCAATATTATTCATAGATAGTTTCTAGATGCAGATGTTATATATTTATAATAACTTGATGTTGTCATATTTGAATTTTTTTTGCTACCAGTTTCCGGATTATGAAGGTAAGAATTTTTCATTATCGTTCTTTATTTGTATGAAATAGAATCTATATAACTTATAAGTGTTCTGATGTTAAAAGGTCTAAGGAATGGCATGACAGTAATGTAGTATAACTCCCTAATAATACCTCTTGACTAAAATTACATTAAAATGTGTAAAATGAGAAGAGATCTTGCTATAAACAAAAAAATATAAAAATAAGAGGCAAGAAAACTATAGGAACTGTACGTATATGAACAGGCACTTGGTGCTAGTGAAGCTTTGTTACCTCAGAGAATTTTTTTCTTAATTTCTCATGGTCAACTTGGACTAAGACATTTCTCAGAGTTTAAAATTATTTTTACAAATGTTCATAAATATGAAAATAAATAAATCTATTAATGTCAGTTATTTTTTTTTAGGTAGTCCAACAGAACCCATAGTTAAGGAATTTGTGCCATTTTATGCCCTCTGAGTTTTTAATTACAAGTAACAAGTTGGATCATGGCAATAGCTTCTACTTCACACAAATAAACCAAAAAAAAATACTCAATACATGATAAATGTATTGTTATAGTAAAAAATATAATTTATTAATTTAAAAAAATCTTTAGTTTGTTTACTTAAAAACTTTTAATTAATTAGTGAATTAGACAGCCTCCTAGCCCTAAATTGAGCCTTACAGTATCCCAGAATTTTATAGATTTTTAAATATAGCGTTTAAATATGCAGGGAAATCTCATTTCTCCAGTTACGTTTTTATGGAAGTGCGATATATTCTGATACTTCTTTAATGTTGCAATTAATTTAAAGTCAATCTGAAATTAAACCTTGAATGAAACACAGTAGAGCTAATGTAAAACACTGTTGTATTTTCTGTTGTAATTATTTAGCATGTATAACAAATGATGTGTTCCTTCATCTGTATGATTTTCTTTCTTTCTTTTAGTCTTAAAAGGAAGATTTCTTCTCAAGTCCCAAGAAAAACTGTGGTAATCATTTAATGTGTGATAATTTCTCACTAAGTGCACTTTTATATCTAGCTATCATATCATGTATAAGAAAATAGTATTTAATTTTTTTTATTAAAAATCTTGAAATAATCACCTCATTTCCAGTTCCAACATATGTTTGTAGTATATTCAGAATATTTTAACTTTCTTGCAGCAAAAAACCAGCACGGTAAATAGCCATATACTTATAAAACTGCTAATTTTTTTCCCTCAAAAAATCATTATTGCAGTAACTTTTTTGCTTTGACTGGACTATTTTATGTGCACTTTTTCTTCGTTTGTTTTGATTTATAAATCCTGATCCTTTTAATTTTGAAACAGTTCTCTGTATGTTGAATAAAAATTCAAATATTTTCTAATTAGCTTTTCCATTGACAGGATGTTCAAAAGAAAAAAGATGAGAAATGGAAGACTGCAGGAGTCAGAAGACTTCAATCAGTAAAGAATGTGTTAATGAGTTCTCAGTGTTAGTTTCAGTTTTATTCTCTCCTATCGTTGTTGTATTTTACATAATATATTTTAACATTATATGTAGTATGAAATCTTGGTTGTGCAGTTGGGATATGAAAAGCATAAGGACCGGAATAAGAAATCATCTGAAGGGTCCCCACTATAATCTGATTAAAAATGGTTTTAGGGCTGTGTAGGTATATATATGAGTGTTACTGTTTTGTAAATTAAAAGATGACTTCAGGGCTGTTTAAATATACAGTTGTTACTATTTTATCTGGTCTCCTATTCTTCAGTCAGTCTTGAAATATGCAGTAAAGTTTTGAATGATGACAGAACCTTTAATTCCAGCTTATTTCTCATCTGCTTGTTTGAGAACAACAAAGTTACTAAATTATGAGTTTGTCTTTTTTTTTTTTAATTATGATAATGAAAGTTATAAGTAGAGGCTAAATTTATTGGTAATTAGTGTGTTCATGTATAGGTACTCAGGGCTATGATTTCATTAACTATTAGATGTATCTGAACTTCATTCCTACTTCTAAATGTCACACAAAATATTTTTTTGTGTTGTAGGGGAACAATAAGAAGCTTTGTGAGGTCTGAGTTTTTAGGTAGAAGAAATTTCTTTGAGAAATGAATGATTAATTAAGAGAGGAATCAGAAAATATAATTGCAGAATAGGTACAACACCTGTAGCACTATAAATTTCTAAAAATGTAAGGAACAGCAAACAATGTTTATAAAGATTTGAATGTCAAATTAGCGATATTTCTCCATAATACATGTGTATATAATGTATATCACAGTCAGTAAAAAAAAAAAATACAAATTCCATTTCTCGTCTGATGTATCATAAATTTTTAAAGTACACTTAACGTTATCATTAATATTCATATTTGGATAAATTATCAATGGCATGCTCTTCTGTTATTTTATAATTGGTATAGAAAAATTAGTAAATCAAATAACATTACAATAGCTTAAGTGTCACCATATATAAATATATAGAAACTGTTCTTTCAACTGTCATGGGTTATTTCTTTTTCCAAAAGATTTATATATTTTTGAAATATTGTTACTTAAAATGGATTCATTGCCATTTGATATGTAGTAATAACTTTGGAACCAGGACCTTATTACTTGAATGGCTTGTTTTTGAGAATGGTTTAATAAAGGAATCAAGGATTGATATGTATATATTGTACACATAAACAACACGTGCTATGTGTATAACATTCATTTGAAGCTAATGCTCAGTATCAGAGTTGTCACCATCCAGTGTAGAACAAATCGTAGGGTAAACTCAAGAAATATGTAAGATATCTCTTTTTTTTTTCACTTTTCTGGATGTTACATACTCTGAAAGTCTAAAGCTTAACCAGATAGGCAGTATTTATTTATTACTGTTATATTATTGTGGATGCATTTGTCACACTGTGATACTGTGTAAATTTATGTATCATTTTAATGCAACACGTTACCTCCCCCCCCTCCATTACGTTATTTTTACTTGCAAAAAATTTTATCTTTTTTTTAAACACTAAATAGCAGGAGATAACACAGTTTACATTATCTTTATTTGTTTTGGCTTGGTAGAAAAAAGAATGCACTGAGTATTTGAGAAGTGTTGATACACTGGGTTTCTTTATCCTTGGGCTTAAATTAACTTAAAAATGCAATCCTGTTGACCTTTATTGCAGAAAATGATTTTCTATTTGTTTGTACATCTATGTATGGTAGAATAAGATCCAATATAACAAAGTTATGATTTATACAGAATATTTTCACTTTTATTTATCAAACAATATGTATAAAATGGTCCCCTGAAAAAATCTTAGGTGAGACTGTCTTCTTGACATCTCACTGAACTTCTTAAGAAAAATATTTTTTGCATTTATACATACCTGTTTATTTAGTGTGCCCTGTTAAATTCTTTCACAAAATATTATTTTTTCATTCTGAATATTTCTGGAAATATTCTTCTAGCCTTTCTCCATATAATATATTAACAAGTCTCATTGCCTTGAGCCTCCTTTTAGCACCCACTGCATGAGTGTATGAGAAAATTGTAATTTTTATGCATGTTAACAGTTTACAGGTATGTTTTTCTATTTTGTACTGGGAGTGTGTGCGGGATCGTAACTCACCTGTAACCTGTCTGTTTTTAAACATACATCTAAGTATAAAAGAAATTTGTTTATAAAAAAAACTTGCATGGATCTTTACTCATTTTTTACTCGGCAATATGCACAAGTAAAGTCAGAAATATGGATATGGTGTATTCAAGTTTTGTTTTGATTTTTTAATGATTATGGTGTTTTATGAAGTATATATTAATTAAGTATTCAGATTTGCCACAACTTTCATCACCTTCAACTACCCGTCTCTGAAGTGCATCAATAAGCATAGCTTTACCAAAATTAGGTTACATATATATATAAAACACACGCACACAAAACAAATGGTGGAGTTGAAGTAGAACTACAATATTTGCTAAGTATATGTATGTATGTATATATTTGGCAGACATTGTAGTTTTACTTTAACTACCATTCATGTGTGTGTACATCTAACCTATATAAAGACACAATAATAAATGTACAAGGTTTCAACATGTTTTTTTATCATTATCAGGTACAAGTAGTTTACCTAGACACAAGATTATATACGTATATATAAGCAAAATTACCCATCCCGAGTGGCAGGAAAAGTTTAAGATAATCTATCAATTGAAATTATTTCATGGACTTTAAAAGTTTAATTGTGTTTCACTCAGAGCCAAAGCTTTGAGCTACTTATACCACCCACTGTGAAAAGTAATTGTTGAGCATTTCAGTCATGTTAAGAGATGCTCAACAATAACATACAGTAAATCTACATTTTTATTCTTTAAGTTACGTCACACTTTGAAATGTGAATAATAGTGTGATTAATTCCTAACAATTTAGTGTAGAATATCTTCCTTGAGAAATAAAATTTGGCATCAACATTATTCACTCCTGTTCTCCTGTCATTTCAAAAGTGAATGTTGAGCTTTGCCTGTGTGTGCAGCTTTTCAAATGGGAGATGGACGAATGCTCGGACAGATGCCACAGTTTATATATATATATATATATATATATATATATAGAGAGAGAGAGAGTGAGATAGAAAGATGAAACAAAGGGGTCACATGACTAGAGATTGCCCAAGAGGTTAATGAGGGTAACTGCTGGTTTATGTAGAATTGTGTTGTTCACTTCACATGTCTTCTTTGATTTTATGTTGGTTCTTTCTTTAAATATAGTGTTTTTAATAGATACACTATGTTTTTTTTTAGCTGCAGTGGTTGTAAACGTGGGAGGATCTTTTTATTATGTTCAGTGAATGTAGTTTCCATTTCTGGTTTCTCTAATGCAGAATTCTGGGCAGTTATTACACACTGATTTATAAATGACATTGGTATTATTTGATTCTACATAATTTTGACTTAGTATGGATTTTAGTTTAGGATCAGTGTTTTGAATTGGAAATCAACAGGATACTATCTTAACTGAAACAGAAATTTACTCTAAACCAGCACCCTTGGATGTAAAGGTACATTTACTAAGCTGTTAAGTAATTTCTGGTTTTTATGTGACAAAACTGTGTTCATTTGTTACTGTATTAAACTTGTAAACAGTTTTCATTGTTACACAGATACACTTTGAAGCTATCTCTAAGTTTTATTATACTGCATTGTAGCTATAATTTTGCTTACCAGGAACTGGTAAACTTTGTTTTGCTTGTGTTTTCACAAATACTTAATTTCTAACATATATTTGGCATGAATAATAGTAATTTTAATTAAACAGTTTCCAGTTTCTTGTGAAATGGATACATATAAGCAACTTGAAGAATAGCATTTAAGTAATAAGCAGGTTAGTATTTTCATCTAAAACTTTTAAGTTTTTCTTGAGAGTTTGATAAACAGTATTATAGAAGAATGCATACTGATAGTATAGATTTATAGTATTTTATCTACTCTTTATTCTCTGTCGTTGTCTAATAATGTTCCTAATACTAGTTTCTAGACTAGTTAAAAACATTACATTAATACTGGTGGATAGTACATAAACATTTAGTAATATAAAAGCTCAGCCACTGCTTAGGTGTTTCTGGTAAGACTTGTTTTTTGATTGCGACATTATATAAATATCTTAGATTGTATTGAAACTGATTAAAAATAAATACCTAATGCAAACATTTTTTTTCTAATTGGAGTTGAATAGTATCAGCTAGGTTTGTAAATTATAAATTGATTAAGCTACAAAAATTCAAGAATTTATAAAATAAAACGTTGTTTGAAAAATAACTTGTATATAATTTATACATACTGTTATAGTCTTTTTCTTCATTGATGCAATTATGAGAAAGAAACAACAATTTTATTTTAAGCTTAGCCATTCTATTCATTATATTATAAAGAATATTTCCTTGAATGTGCATAGTGGTATAGTATTGAAAAAGTCTCAAGCAAGTATTCACTTAATAATTTCTCAATCAAGTATCTATTATAATAAGATAATAACATCAGGGATTTTAAGCTTATTTATAGGTGCTTTTGGCCTACAAAAAAAAGTAGATGTGTCCAGGAGTGACAAATAAGTATAGTTTATTAGTCTTAATTTTTATTCTTTGACACAATTAAAAACACTCAGTGTATTATTATGGTAAAGAGATCAAGCAGATTTTTATGATTACATAATATACATGTATCGTACAGCAATGTAATGTATTTTTTAAAAACTAAACCTTTTTATATCAGTAATCGTGGGCTCTAACATAAATATTGCCAGTTAAGTGCTGTATTCATCTTTATTCTTTTTCTAGTAATAATAATAATAATATCCATAATATTATTAATGTTTAATGAATGCGAGATACAGTTGTAAAGAATATATAAAAAACATCTGTTAGTACAGTATACATAATACAGTGTATTAAACTTGTAAATATAAATTAATACTTTACGATTAAAATTCATCAGAAGAGTAAACTCGAAAGTAGATTTAATTTTCCTGAATTTTTGAAAAATAGTTGTAAATCGATTTTTTGTATGGAGATTGTTGTATAAGGAAATGAGTAAGAATGTTTTAAAGCAAGTGAATACTGCATAAATAATTTCTTTAACTTTTTAACCTTAGAGCAGATAAGACATTGCTTTCTGAACATGTAAGGTAACTAACTTAGGGTATTTTAAAATTACTTGTTTGTACATAATATAGGAAACTATAGACCTATGTATATTTATTTTGGAGTAGATGATTTAGACTTCTGCACTTGAAAAGTATTCTTTATTTTTATAATCATGCACTAACACTGATAAGCAAAAGCTAACAACAGTTTTATCATTATTAAAAGCTTTAATTTGTCAAAACCACTAGCACTGCATCAGCAGAAATCAATGAAAGTTGATTAAGACTGACATACAAAAAAAAAAATTATGGTACCAGATTGTGTGTGGATTTTTAAAAACCTGGGAAGGTGTATCAATCAAGCATAAGTATAATTAAAAGTAACATTAGGAAAGATGAAATAACAAATAATCTTAATAACAAAGTAACACACATAAAGGGAGGGAGCAGTATTAAATGCCAGTAAAACATGCCCCATTTTAAAATTAACCATAATGGAAAATTTATGAGAATAAGGTAGATATAGCAGAGGAAGAAAGGAGGGAAGTTCCTTTTTGTGTGTATACGTGTGTTAGTTTTGTTCAATGGCAAACAGTTATTCCTTATATTTTAGAACCTAAGGAAAGTATTATTTTGATATTTAAGCTGTGAAGTGGTTAATAGAAAAAGTAAAAAACAACCAAACAATGAACAGAATTAGTTGTATAGTGTGCAAAATAGAGATAGGTGACAGTCATTTTAAAACATATGCCAGTTCTTTTTGAACAATAATTGGAATTTTAAGATCATAACATGGTAAAATCAATGATTGTTACTCATTATAATCAAAAATCATTCCTGGATTTAGGTTTTGAAGTGTTATTTAAACATGTATCATATATTTCTCCTGTAAGTTTTTTTGTGTGTTGTTAGTGATTGTAATTGGTTATAATAAATGTTTCTTGAAGTGATTATTCTCAAGAAAATGTATAGCAACAGTATAATTATTGTATAACTTAGATTTTTATATAAACATAAATGTTGCATTGATTTATGTTTGAATGCAACATGTTTAATGAAACAAAAAATAAGCTACTTTACCATGTGTTTGTATGTATGAGTAATCTGTCTGTGCCATCAGAACTGTTAGAGAAAAAAAATGTTTTTTTGAACTGCAGAGTTTGTAAATGCAAGTTACATGGTTACTCGTTTGGATAATTTTCAGTTCCTTCAAGAAAGAGGACTTATTGGCAGTGTATTTTGCACAAAATATGGTATTAATGTATTAGTCATTGTTTTAATCTGCATTATTTGTATTTACTTGCTTAGATATTTCAGTGCAGCTATATTATGTATCTGGTGAAATCATCTAATGTATATTTTTTTTTATTAAAGCATAACTTACCAATGTTATTAAATTAGTTAAAGTAATACTAGTCTAGAATCCTTTACTGGCTTTGTTTGTGATGTGATCACGTGCGGTTGTTCTGTAGCTCGTTGCTGTGATGAGCAGAAAAACAGGGGAAGACTTCTTTTTACTTGAAACTTCCTGACCAATGAAATAATTCTTTTTTTCAAATTCCCAAGTATAAAATGTGATTAGTTTTATGTGGTTGATTAAGAAAACATTGTAAGAACATTACTGTGTTGATGTATATTTATTTCTTTATATCCTTTATTATTTATTTAGGCTTTTCAATTTTATATCTAGCATTTAAAAGAAAAAATTTGTTTGTGTTTGTTGTTGTTTTTTGCAGAAAATATTTATTTTATATTTTTATCTTCTCAGCCTTTTAAATGCTAGATTTTTTCTAATCTGTTGGGCATAATCTGGTCATTTTAAAATTTGCCAGTAGTACATGTTTATGAATTTTCTTTGCTTAACTTCTAAATCTGCAGTAGTAATTTGAGTGTGGGAAATTCTTACTTTGAAATTAATGCTGAGGGCAAAATAGCACTGCATATTGTGTTAGTTAGTTCAATTAATAAAATTTAAGAGAAAAGCAGTGAGAAATTCCAACAAATTGTAAGATTAAGAAATGTTAGCCATTCTAACCTACAATTCTTCACAATTTGAAAAACTTAATAAAAATGTTATTAGAAGAGAAGATGCTGTTAAGTGATATTTATGTTAAAGGAATTACATATTTAAACATATTCTGTAGACATTCATTAATTGCACTACAACACCAGTTCTCTAATTAAAAGTTTTAGTATTCTGAACATTATGATTGACATCTTTAGGTCAAGAATCAACCCTTTACCATTTGTTATGATACTAAATGTGTCCCTTGGTATTATTAACTACTTTCTAATTTCCAATGACACAACAAAAAGTATTTAACAATGCTGACAGTTTAAGCTCATTTCAACAGGTTGTTATACATTTGTTTTAGACTGCCTTCTTAAATCAAGTATGATGCAATACAACTCGATCTGCATCTTTGCTTAAAACTACAGCTAAAAAGATCTTGAAAATTAGCACACTATGAAACCAAATTGCTTTGCTGTTGAGGTTTGTTGGCCTTTTAGTAAATCTCTACAAATACCTATAATAATTATAAATTAATGATGCCATAGTTAAAATTTTGTGAACATATTGAAAATGTATACTTTTTTTCTCATGAAGTATTTTTTCGTACTATTGTAAGTACTGTCATGAGTCAACAAACTTTTCAATATATTTTTGAAGTGATTTTATTTAATTATGCTGTTTAGCTTTTAATGTACATATATTTATATTAAAGTTGTGGTTTAATACTTGTAGTACTTGTTAATTTGAGTTATGTGAATTTGGTCAACTAAAGAGATACAAGTTAAATACCTTAATTCACAAGATATCTTCAGGAAAGCTTGCTTATGTACTAGATGCTCATATGTAGGTTCTGGAAGTATTCACTGATACTGACGAAAAGTTTGTGAATTAGTACACTAAGAATATTAATGGATGTGTAAATGTGCAAAATGAACACCATTGGACTTTATCAACTTTAGGTAATTGCTCTTTTTTACTTTGGAAAAAACTGATTTATATATTATGTATTCTTTAAGTAAATTAAACTTCCCACCTTCTCCAAAGTAAAAAAAAAAAATTTGAATCATTAAAATATAAAACCTCTATAAAAAAAGATGTGCTTTCCTGTCTGCCTGTGTAATAATATATGTATTTTAATTTATTTTCTACATATTTTATGTCACTGCAGGGATATATTTTCTTTCTATTTACAAAATTATACTCCTTTTTTTTTATAATTTTCCTCTTTTCGTTATTTGCAAATTTTTTTATTTCGGTTAATGTGCAAGATTTTTTAGGAGATAGCAAGTGTTATCCACCTTACTTTTTAAGGTTTCATATTTTCATACTATTTTAAGCGTATACAAAACAATTGTGAATACTTGATATTTAATCTTTCCGATTTTATTGAGAAAATTTTTCCTTACTACTTATGTTCTGTAGGGTGTGTCTAGGAATTTGAAGAAATAAATATTTTATGATTTGGTAGGAAAATGTGGATTGAAATTACAATTATGTTAGCTGTTCTCTTTGTTGCTATTTCTAAAAGATAAATGCTTACTGTGTAGATAATATTAAGTGTTAATCTGCAATTGGAAAATAAAAATTTTTAATATGTCATATTGTGTTGTTTTTTTTATATATTTCTCTTTCAAACATTTGTGCATGTGAAATACTGCTCACTATTGCACAAAGTAGTATACACTTTTATTTTTAAGAATGTATTTTTCATTAAAAATTAATCACATCAAGACCATAGTGCCAGTTTTGAAAGTGATTTAGGATTTCGTTTTTTCTTCATTATATGCTATAATCTGGAAATTCAAACATAATTATAGGAAAACTTTTACAAATGTAAAATATCATATTAGATGGCTCATTGTAGTATGTTTACAGTGCGCTACCAAATGTATCGAGACATTACAACTTAAGAACAGGGTAATGGTGTCATTTTGCCATTAGAACCCCATTTTTATAGGTGTTGTAATACCAATAATAGTGTTAACCACAGCTTTGATTATGTTACTACATTTTCAACCAACAGAGCACTTCCAAATGTAGTGAAATTTCAGTGTATCCTCTATCTCGGGTGGAATTTCAGATTCATATGGGGATTCTGAACTGAAAAAGACAAATTCCAATTGTCCAAGGTATCATAGTACAAGACTAGAAAAATTCTTAATTTAAAAATGGGAATAAAGATAATCAAAAAAGTACAGAAACAAGTTGAATCAAAATTCAAAGATTATAGTCTCAAGCTACAAATCCCATTTTGTCTCCATGTTTACAGTATTATCAAAAATAGGGATTTGTAGCTTGAGGAAATAATGTAGACACTATTTCCAGCCTTGTTGGCTTAATTTTTTTTTAGAGTCCCAAGTAGTAGGTTTGAAAATATAATCTTTTGATTCAACTTGTTTCTGTACGTTTTTGACAATCCCTAATCCCCCTTTTTAACTTAATTTTTACTAATCTTGTTTCTTGTGTTTTTTTACACTCATTTATGGAGAGTAAATTTCATGCTACGTACATGCATATGCATTCAGTTGAACATCACGTTTTTTAACATTGGCTATTTTTTCACCCAACCACAACAGTGAACTTATTCCAGATAAGTAACACGTGTACTCGTATGCAACTACAACAAACAAAACAAAGTTGTTCTCAAAGGACCATCTTGAAGGCAAAGATTGTATCGTCACAGTGTAATGTAACAAAATATGAGCAGCAACAAAGCAATCTTATCAGAACAGACTAATGTTTTTTTCTAAGATGATACAACACATTAATGCAATGTAAACAAATACAGTAACATGCTCACCTTGTTAGGTCTACATGGCATATATGTATGTTCTTCAAAAGCCTGCTCTGCACAGTGACAAGTATTTGCTAGAATAAGGTGAAACAAAAAATGCATGCAAAATAGACAATAGTGACACAATTAGAATAAGTTGCCAATATTTACAACCAGAATCTTAACACTGACTATTTAAAAATAGCTATATGTAACAGTGCTAGATACAGTGGTAATAAATACTGAAATAATGGTAGAAAGAATCACCACTGTCATCTGAGTTGAAAAATCTACTATGGTAATTTTCTGCTGTTAAAACTTTCTGAAATATAGTCATGGAAATCCACATAAAGACAGCAAACTCAAGTAACAATATGCAACAGCAAAATTGGGAACCTTTCATGTGGCTGTTTCCAATTAATGCACTAGAAAATGCATTAGTTGTAGTTTCCAACTAACATGCATGCTAGGAAAACACCGGATTTTTTTAAGACAGAAAGTGAAGGACTTAGAAAATTTTGCAGCAGGAAAAAATTAAGAAGATCAAATTAAGTTTAAAACTAGTCTTTGTTTTTTTACAAAATTCCTGTGTAATCCCACACTTAGAATAAGTATCACTTGCAATAATTTTACAGTGGAGTCATAACAGAGATTTGTAACTTGTACAAACTGTCTGCAGTGGATCTTCAGCCTTGTTTGCATACTTTTTTGTGATTCCTATTTGTAGACTTTAAATTCTCAATTTTAAATTATTTTGTATGTTGGCTTTCTAATGCACAGCAATGGGCAAATATATGGCTAGAATAAGACACAACCCCCACTAAGCCAGTATAAAATTGTACTAGTAGAAAAGCAGCCTTTTCAAATAAAACAAATAGATCTAAAACATTGCTTTAAATAAAGCTTTGTGTCTTTTAGGGTAATTACTTACTGAGCCAGGTGGCTTTGTGCCTGATATTTTATGTAAACACACGTCAAGTACCAAAGCAGCCTCTCAGAACAACATTCCATCTATTATGTATTTATAACCACATAAATCAACTTTTAACTAGGTCAAGTTTTACTTTATGACTTATCATTATTTTCAAAACAATTCAATTAAAATGTCAATGAATGACAGATACTGTCAAGTGTGTAAAAATGGAAAACATTTTATATATCTTTTAGCAAGAGTGTAAAGGTTCAGAATAAAAAAACTGGATTTTACCAAAAAATTTAGGTGGAAGTTAGCACAGCAACAACAGCTTAAAGAAAAACGTTAATGTTGATATACAGAAGCTATAAAAGACAAGGTAGATATGAAGATAGTGTCTGTACAGGATCTGTAATCATACTTATGAAGGGGATACAGGAAGATATTCAAAATTCTGTTAGTGTTATCAAATTCAAGTTTACTACAGAAACCAATATTACCATGGTACAAATATGAACAAGAAACCAAGTTAAAACAATGATTTGTAGTATGGACTGATTGCAGGAACTGATCATAAGCTTGACAATCAAACCAGATACATTTCAGTTACACAAGCTCAAAAACTTTTCTCCCAGTCTTTTCCCATATATAACTTAGGAAAACAAGTTCTGTATAAATCTCTAATTATTACAACAATACACCAAAAACTGTACTAACAACACACTAGATCACACTTTTCTCATTTCACCTTCTCAATCATACAAAAAAATGGTTTTCTTTAAAAAATGTTTTATATAATGATTACATTGAATTATCAGTATCCAGCCGTGCAATCGGAAAGTTCAACAAATCACAACACTCAGTAGCTTATTACAGGAAAAGTGGATTGTAACCGTTCAAAGGTAGCTTTTTATTAATTTCTTTGGCAGGAATACAGTGAAGAAGGGGGGGAAAAAACTTGTACATCTTACTGAAGATGTGGATGTCAAACCCAGAAATACAATTAAGACCATAAATTTATTGCAAGATACTGGAAATTCCAAAGACTGACAAATACAACTACTTAATAAGCAGTTGTTGTGTTACTGGTAGAAATACAAATGCAATAATTTATATATATTTTTATAAATGCTAAACAATTTTACTACACATATTAAACAAATATATGACATTAATATTTATGCTAATTTTGTCAATTCTGCATAGAAACTTTTCACCTGTTATCAATTTAAAAAACAACAACAACATTCACTGAAAATAAAAGTTTTTGAATGTTCTTTTTTCTCCAACTATATAATCTTGTGTGTTTTGATTTCACAACTAACCAGTAGGTTGTATCTTGGTAAAAACCACCTATTTGCTCTTTCCACCTCTACATGGTGGTGACTTATTTCTCCTTATTTCATTAGATTCCCACTGAGAAGGTGTAAATGTCTATAACAAAAAGTAAAACAATATAATCAATGAGAATGCTATTTGTAAATCAAATACTCAGTCTAAGGCATAATACTAAAATTAAAGTGGTCTGTTTTTTTTTAAAAAAAGAGACATATTCACACTAATTTTGAAGATTACTTATGAGATAATTAGTACTTTTGAAGCTACATTCAGTGTTTAACAGTGACATTTTTTTTTCAAGCAGTGGACCATTGTCTCTGTTTTCCATTAACCTTTTTAATGCATAACTGAATAAAACTGTTTTGACTTTTTTTTTTACAACTGTCAGTTGAACCAGTCCAAGAAACTGAAATAATTCATAACTGAAAACTAATTTCAAATTTATGTAAATTATGTTTGGGTTTATAAAAGAATCTGTTTTATCCCGTTTCTAAGCTAGAGACTTAGCAGATGAGTTGGTTTCTTAAACAATTATGACAAGCAGTTCACTGGTAAAAAATGCATGATAATATTATGTAAAATGAAATCATTACTGTGATATAAATTTGAACAAACATCTACCATATAAAGGATATTATATATTTTCTGTTAAAACTGTTTTCCTTCAATCTCTTTTTCCAGATATAAAACTTTTCAGCTTTAGATTTGCTACTATTTTCTTACTATTTATGCTCTATGCGTAAGCCTGTAATATTTTGAAAATACTGCAATTGTTTCAATTTTAGTTTAGAAAGTTGACTATTTACTTCTTCATAAAAGGTTTAAAAAAATTTTTATTCTTAAGTATGTTGAAACACATGTTCATGTCCTCTCTCAAAAGAGTTCATTTTGAGGACGTAGTGTAATTGTTCAGTGTCTTGTATGCAAGTCTTGCCCATTGAGTCAGCAGTTTTTTTATATGTTAACCTGTGCCAATAAATAAAGTAGTTTCTTTGTGTAGGATTTGTTTGTTCAGTCTCCTTCTTTACCCTTTGTGCATGAGGTTGGTTCATTGGATCGAGCCTGTACTGGAGAAATAATGTTTACTATAATTCCAAATTTACTTGGTGTATCTTCATGAAATTTGGCAAGCTTTTAGTAAATAATGCAAGTAATGCAAAATCAGAATTTTTAATAAAGTATTTCTACAAAAGATTATCAATGAGTTTATGTTGATTAGTCTGAGAGCAATGTGATTTACAGGTTAAGAATAAAAATATTTTTTCATCTTAATGTTTTCATATTTGTTTACATAACGTCTAGAACCTTCTAAATGAATATCAGAAACTTTATAGAATTATTGCACATTGTAACAGATAATAACAGTTACTTATCCTCAAATCTTCAGTCCTTTTGCCTTTACAAAGCTGCTCTCACTTAATCTTATTGTTTTATTGCTCTTTGAACCATATTTAACTACAAATTAACAAAGCAGTAAATCACCTAGCAAAAGCATAGTGCAAGTTATAGTAAACAAAGTATTGAATTACAACATGCACGAGTAGCTCAAGCACATTCCTAAAGAGAATTACTTTTTATTTAATTTTCTGATCTAACCTAACAGGTTTCTAATTTTTACATTTTAGTTACTTGAAGAACAATAAATAAAGAATATACATAAGAAACAAGAAATCTAGTACTTAAGTGTGTGTCTAATACTTTTTTGCTGTCGATGTTTCAATAAAAGCTAACCCTATTTTGTGGCAGAGTTGTTGTCATTTAAAATAATTCCTCTGGCTGGTTGAGGTGACATGGCAATAGAAAAGAATGAAACTGTAGGCAGAATAATTCAATACCTGTCATCAGAATGAGCTAGCCCTATAAGTCTATCTATTAGTAGATTCAAATGTTCTGTTTTTATTGGTTATACATAATCCAATAGCAAATGTTAGAGAAAAATACTGACACTCTTTGAAAGACAGTATGTAATGCAAGGGAGTGGAATATGGATTTGACTATCAAGTTTATACCTCAGTAAAGCAAGAAGACTGCAGGCTATAAATTTAGATTATGTCTTAGCAATATCTATAAGTGTTCATTTTTTTAATAAAACTTGGAAGCTCAAATAGAAATGGAAAGAATATATAAAATGGGCAATTTGGAGCAAAGACGTGTCACATAATGCAGAGAAATGAAGACAGAATTTAACTATTTTCTTTAGAAATTAAAAACTTTAAACTTGTTACCAAATTTATTGAAAGACATTGATAATAAAGATGTTTACTTGAATTTTGAATGTAACTGTGTAAAAGATCATAACATGCATGCTCTAACCACCCATACACGTACAGTTAAGTCAAATTTAGATATACAGAAGGTTGAGTACATTATATTTAAAATATTTTGAATATGTAAATCAGCAAGACATGTGACAAATCCAGCTAATATAAAACCTAAGTGGAAAGGCATGTATCTAAACTACATTTTGACATGGTTTGGCATTCCATAGCTAATGTGATGCCATTGAAAACTGATCACTTTTGGGAATGGTATGTGACAACCCTTTCCAAGGAAAAATATTCATATGAACAGATTTGTTGTGGAAGCATCTCTAGTACATCTGACTTGTATTGCTTAGCCAGATGTAGATTCTTCTAGATTATGTTACATACTATTGCTTGGGGCACGTGATTGGATTTTGTCATGGACGTATGTGTTTGTGGATTCTCATTTGTTATAAGACATTGCGCTTTGCTAATAATAGCTGGAGTGTGACTTGTTACAGGCCTTTTTCTGGATAGTTATGGTGTCCAAAATTAATCCATACTTCTTTGTTTTACAATGCCATTAAGTACAAGGGATATTTTGAGCCTGAGAATTTTAGATCCACAATCTGAACACAGTTTTATAAGCAAACAGCTGGGGAATGCAATAAGTATTCATACTATTCCATATGAAGACACAGGACTGTTGAAATCGGTGGTGAGAAACCAATGTCACTGTACACTAAATAGCTTTGGAAAGTAAGCAAGGAGTAGTCTTTTTATATGACAGCTTTACGACACAGCCTTTTGCAATGGAAACCATTCTGCATGTGTACTGTCAGGTTGAATGGCTATTAAACGAGCATGACAATATGGATGATAATGACATGAAGTTCCAAAATCATTTTAATATAACATACTCAATCTTTCTACATTGTGCAAAACATTTCTTTATGAACGTTCTGTTAGAGTAGGTTAGTAAACTTATCTTTACTTAAGAATACCATATATCCAGGAAAATTTGTGTATGTTATTAAATAATGTGCAGAGCTTGTAACTACATAAATATATAACAAAAAGTATCTTTATATAAAACGCATAGAGAAGATATGCCTGTGAATAAAATTCCAAAACAACTTAGATCAATAAATTTTCATTAATATTGCAAAGCAATCCAATGATTTTTATTAAAATGTACAAGTTTAGCATCTTAATATATACAGTCTATCTTACCTCGATAGCTAGAGCATGAACAGGACCTTTTAATTCATCTTGCAGAACTTGGTTCACATGTCTGTGTCTCTAAAAAAATATTTATTTCAATGCACTGGTTAATAAGTGAGCACATTATTGAGAGTCAAAGATATGAATCATTTGTAAATATTTATTTATTATAAAATTATATGTTTTGTCATTTAATGCACTGTATAAACTTTTATTTATTAATAATGTTTTTATTATTATTCATAACATTGTACAATTTTTGTAACAAATTTATTGAGGTTAAACATCACATATATAGCAGAATTATAATTAAAATTTTATCTCTATTGATACAAAATTTTTTAAATGTATCTCAAAAATTACCTTACATTAACAAATCAAACTTGTAACTTAGAGAGGTGATAAGAAACAAGTATAATCATAGCATACATTTTTATTTCACATTTTGTTACATTCCATGTTATCAGCATTTATGTATAGATTCTTACTATCAACTAGTTCTGCCAAGTAACATTTTAAGCTAGTATTAAACTCCACAGTTTGGTTATTCAAGAATTTAACCAACAAGAATTATTCTATATACAATAATCAACCTGAATCTCAAAAGTCAGTATTGGTGGTATCTCCACATTTTTCAGTGATGTCATTATGTAAAGTACAGTTTCATAGAATTTAAGGTATATATAAAATATCTTCTTTATGTATGTCTTACATATGTATGTAGAATATTTTAGAGAGATTCAATACTAAAGTGAAATAATACACTTATTTTACTGTTGCTATCAATCAGTTATAATGCATGTTAAAAAAAAAGAGCTTCCAAACCTATGAGGAGTGCAGTTATGTAAATTAAGAAAGGCCAACCTAAGTAAATGCAGTAGCAAGGATGACTAATAAAAATAACATCAAGTTACAGATTATAGTGTGGGGAACTGTATAATTGCTTTGGAGATATCTGCAGAAATGGGGCCTAGAAAGACGTAGCGATACACCATCTAGCAAATTTAATCTCAATTTCAATATCTCATCTGTTACAATAGTAAGAAATAAAAAAATAGCAGATGTGAGTGCTCAAGCCCACAAGTTCTCTCTTGTTAACCCACTAGCTTCACTTCTTTCCCTTTCTTTTTTAACAACCACCTTTCTACAAATGGCTGAAAGCAGTGAAAGATGACATACGTATGACACAATTGATTAGAAAACTACTCTTCCAAAGATCAGTTAAGTGAGAGTAACAAAATTAATATTTTATAATTTATACAGTGCTGTCTAAGATATAAGAAGTTTCAGCCAACAGCTAACACGTATGAAGATTAAAAGTATTCCATTCAGTGATGGAAGGTCTAAAAGCCCATGCAAGTTCCACACATTGATTGATGAATGCCATAAGCTTACAAGAGAAATTGTGCATAGCAATAACAAAAATAAAATATTGGGGAAAACTGAACATAATCTTTGTCTTTTAAATTTCACGCAAAGCTAAATAAGAGCTATCTGCTCTAGCCGTCCCTAATTTAGCAGTAAAAGACTAGAGAGAAGGCAGCTAGTCATCACCACCAAC